AACATTTTCCATTAAAAACATCAAAGAGTGCAGTCGTTGTTGTGTGACTGTAGGTACTAAACTACAAGGTCATTGTCCTACATGATCATTTTTTTAATCACGTAGGCCCTTATTTTCCAAATTCGCCACCTCTGCCACATTTCAATAAATTTTTATTGAAAGTTCTACGTCACCATCCTGACAAAAAGGGAAGCTGTAAAAGAGCGAATTCCAGTGCCAGTACCGTATCCCACAAATGTGAAGTAAGCGACCCCGAGCCAATGCTGAATATTTTTCTTCTTTTTGCACAAATGCCACCTCTCAACCAAGTTTCATGAAATCCATCTGAGTAGCTTTTACATAACTTTGCAGGAAAACAGACAAGGTTCCACATTTGGCTTCTGTCTTGATAGTGGCATTTGCAGTAAACACAGCTTCGGTTGTAGGGAATGTAATTTGGAGGTATTTAGTCTTTTCGTTTTAGATCAGTTAATACTTTTCACCTACTGTGACATTTGCTGGGAAAAAAGATATCCTCAAGGGGTTAGAATCTATCCTGACCTGAACACTATTAAAACAAAATTTTCGCTAGCTGTTGAGAGTTGTGGGGGGATCGGCCAACGAACAGATGTTGTCATTCCTCGCAGTACGACTAAAAGTGATGCAGAGTTTTGTTTGTTTCGCAAAGCCGTTTGAAGCTCATGTTTACAGACACCAACTGGTAGAAAACAGTGTTTACATTTATTTATCTATTTATTTAGCAGGATTTATGTTAATTAGCTGCAGCTGAGTAAACTTACTGGCCACAGTTTTCTTTACAGCCAGTCATCGGGTTTAGCTTTCACTTGCTACAGTTCTTGGGACACAGTTAAAGCATCAGCTAAAGAAACCTATTATGCTCATTTCCTACCCTATATATTTTTTTAAATGTAAAAGAATAACTGACTGAGAAAGACTCACAGTTTAAAGTAATCCTTGTTCATCTCATAGTAGGCCTTGGCGTGGCCCCCTGAGACTTTTTACCTCCCTTTCCCTTCAGCCCAGCTTCTTTCTGATTGGCTGTCCCTCGCGAACAGAAGATTTGAACAGCAGGTGGGTAGGACTGCTGTGCTCACAGCAAGAGCTGCCTGAGAAGACAATATTGAGGATATTCATAAACAGACATATAAAAGCACGAGTAGAAAAAATAGAAAAAAAAGAAACAGAGCTTCAAAAGCAGACTGACGTCTGAGCTTTTGGCTCACAGGGATTACTTGTACATACTCTGGCCTCATTATTATCTTTAGCCGTGTTTATAAGGAGTATCCAAAGCTGTAACTGCATATATATATGTGTACATGTAAAGAAAGAGGAAAGACATAAATCCCCTTTAATTTAATTTCACTTGAGGTTTCCAAATGTTGTTTTTCTGCATTTTCAACATAATCTATGAATCACTCAAGTCATCAGGGAATTGGGTATTGTCCTGATTGCACTATATGCAGGTAAGAGTTTGCATTATTCTTAAATACTTGTGGACGTGCTGTCACAGCTAATGTGTTTTGTTGAAAGCACAGAGTACGCAGTCTGTTTCATAATACGATTTAATTTCAAAAGTCTGTTCAAGGACGTTAGGATTCATTATTTGTGATTGAGGGCTTTGATGCAATTTCAGGGGAATAAAACATTTGCTTATCAAAACCATTTTCTGCATCATTAGCAGAACAACGTCCTACATACAGACATTGTTTAACTGAGACGTAAAGTGTGAACATTTTATTTGTGCTGATTTTTCTCTTCGTTGCAGCATGTCATGCTCTTTCAGGTTTCAAAGGCTAAGCAAGAGCATAATGTCCAATTAATTTTAATGTGAGACTAAAACCTAAGTGCTTCTGATGCATCCAAACACAGCTGCTTTTTTTTCCTGAGCTATTTGCCTCAGTACATGAGATTTCTTCCAAATATCCTCAAATACTCAGGGGTAACGGGGATCCACACAGCGGACAGTTAGCACCTCTGAGGCATGGGTAGATAAGATTCACGGTAAAAGTTGGCTAATATCTCAAAACTGACAGGAACTTTCTGGGCATTTACAAAGTGTGACTTTAGTAAACCTGTGCTGGTTTGAATAACATCAAGAAAGCCGAGGAAAGATTGAAGGGGTGGCGGGGGATCCTGCTCTTTGATGTATAGGATTGAGATGTGATGAGGTCTGTTCAAAGTGAGTACAAAGTAGTGTTAAGATGGAAAAGGCAAATGCAGCTTTAGTCAAGGTAGAGAAGCAGAAGTAGCAAGACATGATGAAGAAATGTCCTGTCTCACATGAAATGCAGGCAAAGAGGATGAAACGTTGTCAGACATTAAATATAGATGGTGAGCTTTAAAAACACACTTTTGTAACCAATGAACTTTGAAATGCTAAGCAAGGTGTAGTAAGGAAGAGCAGCCAGCCCTTATTACTGTGTTATGTTTGAATATCCACCTTATCACATTTCTAATTGTCTTTGGTAAGCCAATAAGATTTCCCTTTCTGTGGTGCAGTTGGGAAGAACAGCCTTCACACATCTGCAGAGAAGAAATCACTCAGTAAGACAGGATCTGAATGTAGTAATTGCTTTTTATTCCTTTTGACACACTGACCGCAGCTTCCATGTGTCACTCATTTGAGTGGAAAGTGGAAGGGTGAAAATCTACATCTAGAATCCTGCAGACCTGCTTAGTCAGGCTCTTATTGAAGTGTGCACGGTGAAAATATGTATTTATTGGCCATAAAATAGATGTCACTTCTCTTTAAAACCGCTAAAACTTTTAAATGTTAAATTGCATTCACTTGTGTTTGGGTGGCATAACCATAGACCACATATGGGCATAGCCACAGTGACGTCACCCATTGGTTTATGGACTCCCGCTTGGAAGCCTCGACTTGAGCTTTTTTACCATATTGGAAGAAAGGGGAGGCTCTGACTGAGGGGGAAAAGGGCACTGCACATTCTTACAGCAGTACTTGTCAATTACAAAGTAGCCATGCTCTAAAACATACTCATCTTTATCGTCTCTTGAAGTACAATGGGGGCCACAATTTACAACATGAGCATCAGTTTATATTCTGTAAGACCTAAATCTTGCTATTGAGACTATAAATTTATCAGATAAGTGTTTACCACATACGTAGATTAAGTGAGAACTAAGGCCATTTTCCAATAGACTTCCATAAACTAAGATTCCTTTTTTTTTTACCCAGAGGAGTCGCCCCCTACTGGATATGAGTAAGAATGCAGGTATTACTGCACTGGTTTTACTATGTTGATCTATGGCTTCATCACATTTTTCTCCCTGCAGCCATCCTTCGTCTCATCTAACTAGTGTTTTTTCCCAAAATGTCACCCTGTTGGATTCCACTTTATTTTCCAGTCTTTATTACTTTGTTTGAATTTTACCATCACGCAGAGCTCTCTGCCTCTGCCATTAACACTTTGACATTTTCACTAATTTCAGTTGTGGTACACTGGAAATTGCCACCTGACCCTAATAGTGTATATTGTCAAATAGTTAATTAATTCTGTGTAGCTAATCATAAGCCTCTGCATACTCGTGTAATCCAGAAAACTATCAATGCTCCACTGAACAATCCTCCGCTGACTACTACTGCTGCAATTAGTAGATGTATAACTGATCAGCAGCACACTTTTTGATGTTTCCTTTAATAGGTTATTAATGTGGAATTGGATAGAAACAGGCAGTTTTGCATTTTGGAGAATTGTTTTCTGGTTATTAAACTACCACACGTTTCTGGGTAATAAGTCACAGCATTAAACACAATATGTACTCTGTTACCCTTATTTATTCTATGAAGAATGCTGCAGGCATAAGTCAGCATTAATTCCAGCACTGTGAATAGTATCCTTATGTGTTAAACCATCAACTAATATTACTGTTTTATGAGATTAAGGCCACAAGTTAGTATTTTAAATTTTTAATGCACAGATATTAACATTTTATTGTTAGCAGGTCCTGTTGTTACCAATATACTATTATTAACTGATTTTGCTTCATAATCATACACTTGTTTCCACATTATTACACCCACTTTCTACCCTCTTAGTACCAATTATGTGATATTAGTCTTATAACTACTACTGTTAACTACTTGGCATGTGGCTCTTTTGTCCTGGCTACCTCTCCTCACACCCAACCAGTTATGGCAGATGGCTGGCCTTCCCTAAACCCGAGTTTTTCCTTCCCACTGTTGCAAAGTGCTTGCACACAGGGGGCTGTCTGATTGTTGGAGTTTCCTCTGTATTGTAAAGAGTTGAATTGGCTATTACTCGGTAATAATCCCTTATTAACCAAAGTAATACAAAGCTAGACTAGAAGGTGCTGCCCAAATGTTTCTCCTCAAACAACAGATACTAAGATTTCTCATCTTGTAAAGATTGTCATTTAATACCCTATAAACTCTTAAGTACCCAAGATTCCAAATACTTATTTTCCATTTGTTACAATCACACATCCATTGAATATTTGCAATGAGCAGTACTCATTACTGAGTGAAATACAGTTAATGAGATTATCTGCACTTTTAAATGCTGACCTACTTTTTCTGTGCCTACATCCTGCAGAGTTGAGTGATCCAGGACTGTCAGCAACAAATATGAGATCTTTCTTAGCTTAAAACTACTGACGTTATTACCAGGATGAACTCTTCTCTGAGTGTGAAGGTGAACTTTTCATGAACGCACGGTGTCACTTCTGCCTGTTTCTTTTGTAATTCGGCTACTACAAACATCCCCCGCTGTGCACCTGTGATAGATGCGGTTTATGTAATAATAATAAGCTGTTATTGAGTCATCTCATCAATGAAATGACATAATCTCACTTAAGTCAATTGAAAGTGTTTCTGTCACTTTTGCGTCACACACGGGCGCCGATTTAAAAAGAAGGCAGAATCGGTTTACCGCCGCTGTCATCATCGTCGGCATCATGTTGGAGCTTGTTGTTGTTTTTGCCTGGTTGGATCACTGCCCTCGTTTCCTCTGTTGCAGGTCCAGTGATGAAGCTGCAGCAGAGAACTCCTCGCCGGCGGGGCCAGCAGCCCAAGCTGCTCAACAGCCCGGAAGACAGCCTGTACTACAACCAGCTAAATGTGAGTTCAAAGTGCCGATAAAGGCCTTTGTCTGACTTTGGTTCCACATGATAATACAATTAAACCTACCTGTGCCAGACCCTGGAGCCCCACCCCCACGCTTCTCTGCCTCTTGTCTTGAACATGTGCTTATGCTCTTTATCTGTTGCTTTCATGTCAGGATGTCTGCCTTCACGGTGAATAATTGATGTGGTTTATCAAAGCTGAGCAAGATGCATGCTTCATCAGACTCACTTGAGCCCTTTGATCAGAAAAAAATTATGCTGTGACTTCTGATATTATCAGCATCTGCTCGCATTCAACACAAAATCACTTTGAATTAAAAATTAATGACTCTCTGCTCATCTTTTGACTGTGTGCTCTTGGCCCTTTCCTCAGAGAACTCTGGATTACCAGGGGAGCAAGAGGAAGCCGAGAAAACTTGGGTAAATAACTGCTTTCCTACTTACAGCAACTCTAAACAGAGCAGGCCCTTTGTGGAATAGGAGAATCCAGAAATGGAGTTGTTTTCTTATAATGTAAATGGAGAGCCGAAAATAACAGGGTTTTTATGAGGAGATGCTCTGCGTCATTGGAGAGGGGGTTACATATTAGGGCCTTTGTCATCATGCTAATTTTAACTGTTGAAGGTCTGCACTGTGCCTGTACTGTAATTGACGTTCTATTTCAGAGCAGTATGCTTAAGCAAACACCTCATCTCAGGTGCATCTGCAAATAATACTATTGCAAATGTCTAGCTTTACACAATATTAAACTGAAAAAAGGCACCGTTCCTCTATCACAGTAATGTCTCACCACTATCTTTTTGTCTCCTTAAAAAACATCACAGTCAAATCAAAGTGCTGGATGGAGAAGATGAGTACTACAAATTACTGTCAACTGTGGAGTCGATCCCTGAGGAAGAGCACTCAACCACCGCCCCTACCCACCCTTTCTAGTTGGGCCCCTCGTCAGTCAGAGCTGAACCTTACAACCATGTCAGCCGGTAAGACAGACGCTTCAGACGTGTAGACAGACACTCCAAAGAACATCCTCTGCTTTGGATGTGCTTCGGTATGTGGAGCAAGTAGCAGCGGTGCAGAATAAGCGACCTGCGCGAGCCGTGCCCTCGTCTGCTAATGCAAAGCGATCAGAAGGTGTTTACAGGAGCAATTCGCTCGTCATCAGTGACAGTGTTAGGATAGTTTCTTCCTTCGACTCAGAGTTTGGAACACATAATTCTACTAGACTCTACTAGACTAGACGTACTAGATTTCTACCTCGTGTGCACAATTTTTCCAGTCTTGTTTTTTCTTTTATTACTATAACTTTAACTCTAGTAAGTTACACATCCGAGCTTCTGTTATATGTGTTCTACTGCATGGTAAAGAATTTTATTTCTAGAGGCTGAAATCCTGCATTTAATCTTCAAATTGCAATAAAAATGGTGCAGAAATTCATAAAAACACACATAAGAGAAGGATAAAGAGGAAGTAACATTGTCCCAAATATCCAAGCTCCACAGGGCTGCATATAGTGAATATTCCTATTGTCCATGTAGCTGTTAATTGGTTTATTGATTGATTCTTTAGTCTAAATAGTTTAGTTTAAAAAAAGATAAAAGGAAGCACGTCTTATATATCCTCTTATATTCATGACTAGATAAATTATAAGCTCATTAAATGGCCATTGATAATTTTCGGTTGTTTTTCTAAGGGTTGAATTGAGCCATCGTTTCTCTGTTACAATGAAGTGCCCCTCATTTTGCAGGCAGTGCGCTGCTCAGCTCAGTGGGGTTAACCTGACGTGGAAACATCTACCTATTCCCGAGCATTACGTCTATTGTCTAAGACGGATCCGGAGACAAATCCTCGTGAAACCCAAAACTCTTTCGACGAGTTCTCCCACAGCGAGTTGCCTGTAGTTAAAGGGGCTTTGTGCTGTCTGAGAGCTGGAATCACCACACATAGCTTCACAGAGGCAGAGCTAGAACTCACTTTGAATTTCACCCTAAATACAGGAATTTTCTTTTAAGATGTGAAGTGTCGGAAATGCAGGGCTGGCGAGTTGATTTGTAGAGCTTTTTTTTTTTCTTTTCAATTTGCATATCATTTACTGCATCTCCCTTTGTTGACACCCGAGGGCCTGAGAGGAGATTTTGATCTTAATAGGAAGAGTAGGGTGGTATGACTGAGGATCTCATCCTCCTTATACTCAGCGGGGAAAACATTAGAGCTCTGCCTTGATAGCAAACCCAGCTCCACTTAGGTTCAGATTCACAGGAATCCTGGTGGGTTTAACGAGGTCCAGGGTGTTCATCAAATCCTACAGCTCAATGCTGTGAGGGTCAGACTCGGGTTGAGACACTGAGGCTTTACTACTTTACTACTACAAGCTGTAGTAGTAATCTTTGTTTTTCCTTCTTTAACCTCTCAAGTCTCCTTTTAATTTTCTGCATGGTTGACGCTTTTGTCTCTATTTTTTTGTCACTTAACACCACTGTGGTTTAAATCTGCCGTTTTCCAACCGTAACTGTGCTGTTTGTTGTTTTAAACAGCCACAGCGTCTTTAGTGGTGATGTGGTTAATCCACATAGGTTTAAAAGTTGCACATACTGTCTCCTGTGAGGAAGACATAAATAGAGGTAGCTAAAAGGTGTTTACATCTTTCAGTAGACTTACTGCAAGGTACGCATATTTAATGTTATTAAGCCTTTGGTTGAGCTGGTCTTGAGCTGATTGAGCTTTTTATAGCATAACGTCAATTGATGAGGGCTTTTTTTTCTCTATGCTTTATAGCCTTGTGACAAAGTTTGGGAGTTCTGGACAAAAATATCTGAAAATATTTGTGATATTTATAAATTCTGTTCTGATCCAGATTATTTTTTAGGTAATATTTTAAGAATTAGAGCTAAAAAATAAAGAGAAAAGACAAACTAGCATCACAAGAGGCAGACTGATTAGATATTCTGATGATAGACTGAATTGTGCCCACAGTACAAGGGTCATATAAATTGAGTTATGTATCCCAGATCTCCCAGGAGTACTAGACTACAAAATGTGCCCATTATAAATGAAGACATGTGTTGACAGCCACATATTTGGTGAATTTAAGTGGTGAGAGTATAAATATAATGTATAAATAAGTAAAGTATAAATAGCTGAAATACTCTAAAACTGAACACGGCACAGTTTACAATAAAATACGAAAGGAACATTTTTGGTTTTTCTAAATTAAGATTTTATAATTAAGCTAAAAAAAAAACTATTTTTCAGTTTATTGTCATATTTAAGTCCATAAAAATTCAAAGCGTAAAAACCCCGGACCACTGGCGGTGTTATAATGTAGTGTCACAGTTACTTGAGAAGCATTTCACCTCCGGTCGTAGCCACAGATCCTGCAATAATTAAAATCCTCGTTGTGCATTACTCCCTTGCTGGGATAGTTGGTTCCTCTGAAGAGCAGTCTGAAATAGGTCACCCCAGCACCCTGTAGTGCATCTTAAAAGTACACTGAATCAATTAAGTGTGATCATGCTCCCTTGATTATTTTGGCCCTGTTTTACCACAGAGAGGAATTTCAAATAGGCTCGCTAGTTTGAATAACAAGGTTGGACTGTAGTGACAAATGGTGCCAGAGTGGGTGTTTCTTCCCCTGTTTTCCTCTGCCAAATTAACTCCCTGGCTGATTGCCTGCTTTAGCATATGAGAGGAGGTGAGCAGAGGTGTGCGCGTAATTGCCTCGGATAGCTGATTATGTGTTGCAAAAAGGCAAATGTTATGAAATGCTGTTGTCATTCCGATGAGGGATGTTCTGACCTGACGAACCAAACCCCCTGTGTTTGTTTAGCCTCCGGGTCATTTTGGGGGACAGCGGGTAGGTTAGGCCAGCGTTGGAGGCCTGACACCTGTGTTTTCTTTAATACGTTTTTGTAAAAAAAAAAAAAAAAGCCCAAAAAAGCAGCTCCTTCTTGTTTTCCCTCATTAAATCTGACAACATCTGGTGTGCGGGAGAGGACTCCTTTAATGTGGCTAACGTTACTGCTGGTGTTATTCTTGCCATTTTAGCTATTTGCTTCATGTGCTGCACATTCATTAAAGCTACATCCAAGGTAGCTCCAAACACTGTTATCCAAAGTTTTTAAACCACCTTTATGAAAATCGCCTGCGCTGCAGCCTTAACAAATGATGAAAAGCTTTTATTTTCTAAAGAAGCATACTTACCTTTTCACCTAATAGTGATGTCTCACTTCAAAGAGGGAACACGATTAGGCCAACATTGTCCTGTTTCTCTATCCTTTGAGTTCAAAGGGAGAGTTTCGATGCAGCATTTCATGTGCAGCCTTTTCAAATACTGTTTTAATGCAGTTTACGTGCTTTTCATATCCAGATCTGTCACATTTCCACCACACTAAATGTATCTTGCTATATTATGGTTGCATACCATATGTTGGGGTTTTTTGTGAGTAAAGAATTAATGCCTTGCTTCATAATGCAGACTACTAAAATAGCTACAAACTCAGCATTGCAGTGCTGTTTGCTGGCTAGCGTTGGAAAGAGTGACATGCAAGAGTGTCAGCCAGATGTCAGATGTATGTGAAAGGGCAAAAAAAGAGAAACATGCCCTAAAGAATGCAGTAATAAAGAAACTTGTTGAGCAGGGTAAAAGCACAGGGAGGAAGAGGAAGAGGAGGAAGAAGGAGATAAAAGAGTCCGTTGAGCACATACATCAAAGGTCTCTTAATGACAAGGGATGCCATTAGGGTTACAGTCGCTTTTGTTTCAGCTTCCTCTCACCTGCAGTTTGTCGAGGGCGCTCCATGCGCTGTTTTTGTTGTTGGCATTTGCATGAATGTAAAATGCATGCATGAGAGGAGGAAAGAGTTTGTTAATCTTACAAGTGACTAAATGTTTTGGTCCAAATTACAGCTACCTTTTCATTTGCAAAGGAGACATCTTACCCTTGATGTGAGAGGGACAAAGCTGGAGAAAGCCAGCATAGAACAATAGGAACAATATGGGAAAGCTGTTATCCTGTATGCCATGAAATTTATTGACTTAAAAGTTTTTTGGGTGCCTCCGGTGCTGGAATGGGATTTGACAAATCAGAGCGTGAAATTATGATTAGCCCCTCTCAGTTTGTCGAGGGAGCGGGGCACTAGCAGACTTGGCATGGCCAAAGGTGTAACCTGTTTTGTTTTGCCCCAGCATTGCTTTCCCAGATGGTGGGACCAGCTGCCGTTGAATAAACGCTGGACTGGTAACAGTGTGAGAATTACCACGGCCTTGTTTCGGTTTGGGATGCATAGCTGAAAGCTTGTCATTTTTGCCACTGCCAGGAGGAACCGGAGCGGTCACCTGGTGTTCAACCAAACAACCTTGATTGAGGTCACACTAAAGTAGTATACAGTGTAATTGTTTTAATACTTTCCTTATATGGCCCATGAAATACTTTTTTTTACCAGAAGACTCTTAAAATAAAGGTGGACATTTGCAAATTGCTAATAAATTGTGTTTTTTAGTTTATTTGCTCAGTTTTCTAAAGTAGAGAAGTGGCTTAACATAGTTCTTGAATAGAAACAGGGTTTTTTAGGCAAACAAGCTGTAACTATATAGCACATTTCAAACAACTTAAATTAACAACAAAATGGAAATAAAAAATATTTATGTAACACCAATTCAAAATTATGAAAGATAGCCATAAAAGACAGGTAGTTAACACAGTATTCATCTTTTATTATTTCAGGTAGATACAATACTTGTGTGAAGAAGGAGGACATTTTTTCCATGCAGATTATTTATCTTTTATTTGTTTTTGCTCCTCCAATATCGGTTAAGTCATACTAACATTAATTTTATATAAATCTGAGCAAATTAAAGATCTTCTAAATAAAGATCCAGGCATTTTTTCGTGACTCCTAATACTATTGTACATGGGGGGAAAACAAAGTTCATTTTGAACAACTCTAAAATCTCAAGAATAGCTTAATAAATGCCTCTCTTCAGAAATGCCATTATATCTGCCAGTGTACCAGTTGATGGGGCGATCCACTTTCTCTGTATATTAACTTTCATGGCTAGCTCTGCATAGTAATCATGGCAACATTCAGTGATGTATTATTGACTCTCTGAGGTCAGAGCTACTTTGCCTGTTGTCGGTTGGCCTGATCTGAATTTGTTTCTGCCACTGGAAAATAAATAAGTGAATAAAAATTTGGTTAGTACCTCAAAATTTTGCCTTGCTGACCAAGTATCTTGACTATTTGGCTTACTTCTGATTAACTTGAAATTTTGGGATACATAACTCAAAATTTACAATTTAAAATTTTGACTGGCAAAAAAACCCTGCAGAGATGCCATATTAATATAAAAATCTATAGAAATACACATATAAAGGGGGGGGGGGGGCACTTGCATTGAAACTCCTATAAGGCAAAAACGGCATTAAGCATTGCATAGCTATATAGTGACATATTCTGCCACAATATCTGACAGCTTGTTACGTCTCCTCGAGGGCAGGAGGGGATAACACAACAACTCTGGAAACCCGGTACAGGTGTTATAAAAAAGTTTAATGGCAGCGCGCTCACAAAATAAATAACCCAAATTCAAACAACAAATGCGGGGGAGAAAGGGACAGTTAGGTTGTGCCAAAAAAACACCAAAAAGACAAAACCAAAACTTAGCTGAGCTATTATCCTAGAAAAACAAAAACAGGGGGGAAACACTCTGAACCTCAATTCAAAACAAGCTTAAAATTACATGGGTGGCACCAACCTACTTACCTAGTGTTTCTAACAAAAAGACTCTACGTGAGTAAGTGTATGGAGTCCCCAAACTTAACTAGTCCACTTTACTCCCACCACAACCATCAAACAAAAGAAATACAGCAGAGGCGTTTTAGACATGTGCCAAACAATTCGAAGGAGGGAAGAGAGCCGCGCCCAGCCACAGGTCAGTCTCCTTATCAAGGTGTGCCCTCCTGGTTTGTCCAATCAGGGTCTCCCTCCTCTAATTAGTTGGAGATCCCCAAATTGACATCAGCCTGCAGTCTGTGTACCTAAGGGAATGGCAAACAAAAGGAGAGGGAAAGAAAACATGCAGCCTGCAGACACGTAACACAGCTTTATGTTAAAGCAAAGTTACAAAACTGAGTTGAACATACATAACTTTGTAAATATTTATATTCCAGCTTCTAGTGCTGTTATTTTCTTGTGTTTTTGCTTTTTGAGGATGACAAGAATTTCTAGTGTAAGGTTCAAATTTCTCACAGTTATGTCGTTGCCACCTGCTGCTTAGTAGATCGTGGAAAAAGGTGATATATTTGTAGCAGCTCACAAACATTTCCAACAAAAGATGACGGTCATATAATAAACAAATGTTTAAAAAGCTAAGTGCAGTAAACTGAAGGGTTGATAGCACTTGATTATCACAGGAGTGTCCATTGGATCTGAGTTTGGTGATTGGAGGTGAGGTTGCTTTATTATAATGTTCCTGGGAGAGCGCTGCAGGCTGTAACTCACTCTGTTCAAGTCTGTACATCATCATCATCATAGAGGGGAGAGAGTTTTCCTCTTTAAGGCTGGACTGGATTAGCACATTCAGGGTGGGCTGAGAGAAGGTAAAACGACCTGTCCCGCCTTACTTGACCCCCAAGCCAACCCTGCACATTGCCAAGGCTTTGCTGTTTGCTCTTGAATATGCAGAGATCCCCGGCTTCATAGGCCTGGAAGAGGGAGAGAGAGAGGAAAAAAAAAAGACTTGTATCGCGTTGCAGGGAAAATTAGTGAGACCAAAGTTGGAGTTTCTGTGTGTTGGGGGCTGTGAACAATGGCAGCTTTCTGTCAGACAGCAACTTCAAAGGTCTGCTGAGTGACTGCTCTGAGTTATACTTTGTTGTAGATCACTGAGGAAATTCACAGATGTTTTCTCATACGAGACACCATTATAGCGGCTCAAGTACCCAGTAGCCTCGAGCGCCTCTCCCTCTCTCCCCGTCTTTCTCTGTTTCTCCCACACATTCACACTCCCTCTCACACATGCAGCACCCCATCACCCACCTCCACTCATCCCCAAGTCTCTGATATCTCTTGCATGAGACAGATGTGGAACCTGTTTTCTCTCCAACTGTCCAGAGAATATGGAAAGTTAAAAAGGGCTCGTGTTGTGGCGTCGCCCCGCGACTCTGTCAGATCCTCTCTTCTCGCTGTCAGTTCACTCAAAAATGTCAAGACCGTACACAGCTACACCTTTTCACATCCAAAGTTAGAGGTCAATAGAATAAGGTGGAATTCTCCCTGCTAAAATAGGATGTTAGTGCAAACCTGGGTAAAGATAATGAAAAGCATTTTACATGTACTGCTAAACATCTTTATTTTTCTCTCTTATCCTGCAGATTGCCTTCATTTGTCTTATGGATCAAAACAACCTGCTTCCCAACATCGCACTTGACATCTGTTGTAAATTTATATTTATTTCATGTAAATTGTTGTTTTATAAGAGTCAAATAAATGTGTCTAAATGTTTTTTTAATTCATATTTATTACTGATGTATAACGGTATTTTGATATTGTAGGCAAAACAATTTACCTGCCACAAATCTGTTGTTTTATACATTTTTTTCCTCATTTTAGATTGATGAATTATTTCCCTCTCCCCTTTTAGATCAGACACAATAGTTTGGTTACAGCTAATTGTTTCAGCACGTGCTGGCACTTGCACATACTGTTAAAAACTTATGGCAATAAAAACTTAATGAGTCGTTCTTTCTTCGCCTTAATTGCCCTTTACAGAAATGATTGTCACCTGTTGAACGTCTATGATCCACCCCACTGTTTTCTTTGATTTGCACTGTCAAGAAAGTGTAAAATATATATATATATATAACTACTATGAGTGGGGGTTTTTTTTGTTCTTCTATATACAGATTCCTGAATGCAGGTTCCTGCATATCTGCACCCTGAACATTATTTCTGATGCTCAGCTCTCCACTTTATACTAGAAAAGGCTGTATGAAGTACATAGTTGGTGCTGACTGAGTCCATGTTCAAACCTTTCCAGGCAACAAACTGTTGCGGGGGGGGGGGTCCCTCCAAGTAAATTCTACCCATCAAATGCCGCGGGCAGAAATTTCCTTTAGCCAAACTGTCGCTGAGGCGGCCCTGTAAAACTTGAGGCATGGCCATGAGATGGTGACGGTTTGGAGCAAGTAAATTACCTCAGGGACTGGACAATGTGTTAAGCACACTGTTATGAATTTCTTACAAACTATATCAAAGTCCTGCTTAGCCAAATCCTTCCCTCAGGTGGCGTCCTATTGAGATGCATTAAAATGTAAGAGCCCACATTTAGGGGTGAAACGAACATCTCAAAGGAAGATATCAATAATTTCTGACTGCTGATGGTTCGCAGAATTCATGCAGTTGTCACATATGGCTGAAATATGCCTTGCATGGCATATGACAGCTCACATGTAAAGCTGATTTAAGTGGAAATCCACCTTAAATCAGAATTAACATTTGATGTTTTTAAAGCCTATGAACCAGGCTGCTGTAGTAGAAAAATGTTGTTTTAGGGTGGATTCCTCCTTTACTGTTGGCATAAGAGAGCAGATTGCAACTTTTGACATTTATCTGACATTTAAACCTGGAAGTAAAAACTAACTGACAGCACTTTGCTGCACAAATACATCTTTACAGAACAGACTATGGATATTTTTTTTAACCAGTGACATCTGAAGTCTTACAAATAGCTGGTTAAGCAAATTTTACAGCATCCTGTAGTTTTATCGTGTACCTTTCATGTAGTTTGAGCTCCTTTGTGCTAAGATCCTTCAAACAGTTTCGCACCAGTGAAGCTCACAAAAATTTGCAGTGAGGTGTCATTTATGAAGCCTTTATAAGTTTTAACAGCTTTATAAAAATTTTAAACCTGCATTTATTCTTCTCCTTCTTTTGCTTGCTCCTTTTAGGTGTACACATAAACCCATTATTAATGTGTTATAAATCTTTTTATAACAGGTTTTTCTTCTGCCTACACTTCCTTGGCTACACTTGTTTAAAAAAATAATATTTATAGTATTGGTGACTAAATTATTAGCAAATATAAACCAAAAGCACAAATGAAAGGATACTTTTCACAACCTGGCAACCCCAAACTACATCTTATCAATGTCTCCTAATTCGGTTATTCAATAAATCTGTTTTGAGCTTTAATAAAGCTATGCAGTGTCTTAATTGGTCATCATCTCATGATAAGTTGAAAACAAAGTGTGATTTTAGAGGATCAACGGTTGGGGCAATTTTAAAGTGACACATTAAAAGTAAATAGCACCATTTTTTAGTACTGCTTGTTCAGATTTATAATTTCATGAAATCTGCGAGGTGATTTTCAAGCTTGTTGTCTTAAAACCTTCCTGATTGCCACATTTTTTGCATATTTTGAAGCAGCATCGAGCTCTGTGGCTGCCACAGCTTGATGTAAACAAGGTTAACAGTGTGACTACACCACTCACTCCTGTAGCCACTCTTGTAGTTTAGCATGGCTCCAGTGAAGCCCAGCAGGACTCCCCCTTTCCCTCATGACTGTGTGTAAAGCCGTGGGAGAGAACTGGGAACATTAATCCCTTCAAAGGAACAGATCTAATTCAAAATCTGCCGCTCCAAACTAGTTGAGAGGACAGTGATTGTTTCTGCAGGGAAGCCAGATAAAGATCAGAGAGTTGAACTACAACTTCCATTTTTTTCCAGCTCGGCAAAACATTTAAAAAGAAGTTCCGGATGTTATCTTATGAAAACTGCATACTTTTGCCTTCATTAAATGCTCTGAAACAAAAAGGATGCAGTATTACAGGATGTGTTAGCTCAGGTTTCTTTTTTTTTTTCTTTTCGAGAAGCTGCAGTGGATGGGATCATTAGTTTCTTTCTGGTTTTCGGGACCTGTTCAGTCATAAAGACATAAGATGAAAACATAATTGAGATGTCCACATTTTAAGTGCTACCTTTGTCACCTCACTTATCTAACAAGTTAAAAACGTTCATTTAAATTACCTGCTGGGAGTTTTTTTTTTCTTTTTCCTTCAGGCTTTTAGTTTGGGTTGGGAAAGAATGAACTGGATTGAGGTTCTGATAAAACAACTGATTGAAATGAGTGAAGGGGAAATGAGTGAAGGGGAAATAAGTATTTAAATAATTCAGAGAGGGCATAATTAAGTGTTTCAGTTCAAAGGCACAACAAAGATTTTCTTTTTTTTTTTTTTTTGTAATTTAAGCTTGAAATGTAAAAGAGACGCAGATTCTTCAGAGATGAGAACTTTGTGTTGAGTCACTTGATTTGGTCTCTTTCCTCCATCAAACAGTGAGGCAACGCTCTTGGAGATCTCCAGAGATAACAATGTCACATTGTCACATAGGGTTCTGCTACAAATCCTTAATTACAAAAAAAGAGGATCAGATGACTACAGCATCCAATACTGGGGTCTCCAGGCGGCATGGGGGTCTTTGATCAAGAAAATCCAATTATTTGTGTATATACATTTCCCACATAGTGATTACTTCATTAATTGTCCCGCCTTTATCTCCTCCCTTCCCAGCCCCCCTAATAATCAGCTCCTTTATCCAGACCAACAAACACACCATAGGAGCTTTGTGGATTCAAAGGATTTGCTTTCCCCTCTCAAAGAGCCGCTATTCTTTGATGATTGGGCAGCGGCAAACTTCAAAGTAATAAATCTTATTTCTGACTGGCTGGCGGCCCACCAAAGTCCTTATCAAATTCTAAGAAGTGATCCCTCACTCTTCAGATAGACCAAGGATATATCGGAGAGAGGAAGCACTGGAGAGTGAAGCCCTGCTCGACAAGATATATTTTTTGTGTACCGCGAATGAGTATATTTGTCTAAATTAGTGCTTTTATTTTTTATTCGTCTTTACCGAGCGGAGGAGGACGTTTACCATGGCAGCAGTGGCTGTACTGCGGAATGAAACACTTCAGGCTTTTCTTCAGGTTTGTGCGCAAGTTTCTCTTCACTTTTCACCACTTTTAAGAACTTGTGAAGTTGCTAAATCCAGTTTATGCTCAAAATACGTGTCTTCTCATTTCCGACGCTAATTGTTTGGGGGCTTAATGAGTCCTGCTGCAACATGCCCCCAACTTTTGTGTCGCATCATCACGATTGACTTCATCATTTAGATTCAGATTTCAGACCAACTCAGACCGACCATTTCGTCATAATTAAAAGTGGCATAAATGTGTCATAAATGTGTTAAACTGAGATCATAACGTTAAAAAAAATGTGTGTCTCGGTTATCCAGGATCGTACTCCAAACTCTTCCCCAGAGAACTGTAAGCACTCTCCGCTGGCTCTCCTGGCTGCCACTTGCAACAGGATCGGGCATAACCACGGATCAAACCCCGCTGATTTCCTCCAGGTCCCCTACGATCCCACGCTGGGTTCTCCTTCGCGTTTATTTCACCCGTGGACTAACGAGGGAAACCCTCAGAGCAGCCTGGCCAACAACTCTACTTTCGGACTATCCTCCAAGCCCCAGCTCTCTGCGCACATCCAGAGCCCCTTCAGCTCCCACCACGAACTGCCCCTCACCCCTCCGGCGGACCCCTCGTACCCCTATGACTTCTCCCCCGTGAAGATGCTGCCTTGCTCCATGCAGTCCACCTGCCCTCCCACCTACGTCCCCGCCGTCAGCTACGCGGCTCCAGCGCCCATTCCGCCCGCGATGCCAAGTTTTGTCACGGGACCCTCCGGCCTTGTGCACCAGCAGCAGAGACAGTTGTCCCCAAACCCTGGAGAGGATATTCCGTGGTGGAGCCTCCAGCAGGGGAACCACGTAAGCCACTCTTCCTCACTCGGTCCTCACCGCTTCCAGCTGCAGAGAGGCTTGGTTCTGGGACACACGGACTTTGCGCAATACCAGACGCAAATCGCCGCTCTGCTGCACACAAAGTCCCCCCTCGCGACTGCGCGGCGGTGCAGGAGGTGCAGGTGTCCGAACTGCCAGTCCTCCACGTCCAGCGACGAGCCCGGGAAGAAGAAGCAGCACATTTGCCACATACCGGGTTGCGGGAAAGTTTATGGGAAAACTTCTCACCTCAAAGCGCACCTGAGGTGGCACTCGGGGGAGCGGCCGTTTGTGTGCAACTGGCTGTTCTGTGGCAAGAGTTTCACCAGGTCGGATGAGCTGCAGAGACACCTGAGGACTCACACAGGGGAGAAGCGCTTTGTTTGCCCGGACTGCTGCAAAAGGTTCATGAGGAGTGACCACTTGGCAAAACACGTCAAAACTCACCAGAACAAAAAGAGCAAATGCCACGACAAGACACTAGATCACGTGAAAAGAGAGGACACCAGGATGTTGTAACACACCTTATAGTCATCTTAAACAGTAGACTTTAAAATAGTGCAATACAGTCAGTGCTACACTAGTTACAAGTTCACAGTGAGCTGCATTTTTGTAGGGTACTTGGTTAATTTTGTTGGTCGATTTCTTACATCCTGACAATAGTTTCTAACATTGCTGGTCTGTGTAGCACATTTGTGTGTGTGTGTATATATATATATATATATAAAAAGTTTCATAAGTTAATTTGGGACCATGGAGGAGCTCATAAGTTTGAATTCACTGTCTATATCATATCAAGGAAGACAAGTTTTCAACTTGTGTTTTGATCAATGTCTTCGGTGGAAGATTTCACTCCCCTGTAAATGATATTTAATAGCTTTTGTTGAATGAAAGTGTCTGTTTTTGCTCCATATGGGGTGTTTATAAAAGCATGCTCTCCAGAAGATCTGCTATTGTTAATATGACCTAAATGCTGTGTGAGAATAAAAGTTATGACGTTTTCCTCATCTCAGAACAATTCATTTAATATCCCTCAGTTATATGAGTGATGATGAGGCATCCAGGCGGTATATATATTTTTTATTCATATCACATATCCCATGTGTGTGATTTGTAAAATGTTGCAGACTTAATGTTGTCAAAGTTTCCTGCCAGTAAAATCCAGTCATTAATTTTAGACTATATATTTTTAAATACTCGTTATTCTAAACGTAAATGTTTCCATCTTTTGAATACGGTAAAAAAAAAAGAAAAAGTAGCAGGACAGTGATTTTTTTATGACTATTATTAGTATTATCGTTACTTTTGAGGCTGTTCTGAAAATGTAAAAGAACTCTGTCGAGTCCCACTTTGCTGCTGTTTTTTAAAACAAAAGCCCAGAAAAATTTAGGCGAAGAGGCGACAGAATTTGATTTGGTGGGGAGTGAATTTTGAAAATCGCCACAGAAATAATGGAAAAATGTGCAGCCACCTTGTTGAGATGTACCTGTGTGTGCTGAAATTAGGCCACCAACTGGGTAAAAAGATGGATAAATAAATATTAAACATCCGTCTTCGTAAAAGGAATGAAAAGGACCGCTTCAAATATTTAATTAAGCTCCAAATTTCTGTATCAGAAGTGTTTTCCAGACCTGTAACACTGTCGTGTTTGGGCTATTGCACATAAGCTCATATTATCATGGTTTCTTATTCTCAGACATTCAATTGCAGGAACGCTCTTCAGTATTTATGCACTCTGATAGGTGGTGGATTTGTTTTGTGCCACTGTGTTGGACATTTCCTGTATTGCAGTGTCATTGTAATTGGAAATGTGAGCAATCAACAGAAAAACTCTTACTCTGAACATGTGATAGAATAGGTGACCCCGGGATATGCAGCAGCTGGATTTTTATGGCACTTGTGGCATACTAGATGTCACATTTACCACTGTGGTAATGCCTTGCTCAAAAGCATTTCTCTGTTTTACGACTGCATGCTCATGTGCTGCTTTCTCATCAGTTATTTCAAGTGTTTCACTTTGACTTCCTCCGCCCACATCATCTCTTGGTTGTTGGGGAGTAAAAGTGTCGACCTTCGGAGAAAAAAAAAATCCTGGGTTTCGAACCTTGAGGCTCTTCCTTTTCATACAACTTATCAACACAACAAAAAGTATTGAACTTTTTACAGATCAGATAGTGATACAGATCCAGTCATCTGATTTACTCATTCAGTAAGTAAAGCAGAGCATCATCACTGCCTGCCAGCAGTCACTCTGTTTGCCTCTATGTGGGATCTCTGAGAATGTCAGCATGAAAAGGAGGGCTGCCATTCAGAGGAGTTTTCAGAAAGAGTTTTCTGCCTCAACAGCGCCCCCTTTTGTAAGTTGCTGTTATCCATAAAAGCAGGCAAATATTATTCTTAGAATTGTAACAATAACATTTGCTCTCACAGATCTTTTCCCCTGTTTTTCTAACGCTCAGAGTGTTGTCACGGACAATTTAGAAAACACGACCTACTGAGCCAATGTTTCAGTCATTTTGTCGAACTTTATCCACCAGTGCACATGCAGCTTTAGCTCTCGTTTAGTTTACTTAATTATTCTGTTGCAAACTATTTTATGTGTTGATTTAAATTCAAGTATTGTTCCTTCACCAGAATTGAAAATTCAGGATGCAAACATGCCGTTATTCTTTAAACTTTAAATTCTTTAAAAGGACAAACCACAGACGGGCTGAATCCAGGTGGAATAAACTTGAAAAAGTTTATTAAGTGGCAGGAATTCATCCCATTAGTTTTAATGAATAATCACATGAAAAATGCTAAATACAGTATGGTCATCACTACTTGAAATTTTCAGGTATATTCAATACACCACCAATAATTGTACACTGGGCCTTAAATACCCAACAGATGATCACAACTGTTGCAGTTCTATGTTGAATTAAATGTTTTAAAAGTGGTATTTAGACCGGTTTTTGTCACTCCCTTATGACGTGTTGTTCGTGTGAGGCTGTGAGTTTCATTAGCCTGCTTCTAGTTTTCCAAAGAATCTGCAGGATATGAACGTATCACATTCGGCCAAAGAAGAAGAATAAAGTAGAAAAAATATCAAAAGCTACCATATAAAGTGTGATTTGACCACTTGAACTGTAAAAGTCTTTATCCAAATTTCATGATCCTATTATAAAACGAAGCCTATGGATGGATGTGTTGATTGCACCCAACCCGGCTCCTCACAATGGCTGCGATTTGGCTGCTATTCTTCGACTCTGCTGGAGGCCATATGGCTTAACTGTTTGTAGTGAGGATATCGTATGTTGTGGCTTAAGTTTATCTTCTGAAAGTTGAATGAAAGATTTATGAAGTTTTTAAATTCCATATCACAAATACCTCCTTAAATGTGACTGACAGAAAAGCTTCATTAGCTTTGCTGGGATAGGTATAATCGCAGGTTAAATGTTCATTCCCATCATTATACTCAGTGTGATTCCCCTTCTTTAACCCACTTTAAGACTGTCTATAAGTGGTTTATAAATATATAAATTAACCATCCAGACAGAAGGATGTTTTTACCCAGTGATATATATTTTTTTATTCTTAAATGGACTGCTTACTCTAACAAATACACTAAGACGGTAAGCTAAATATGTGTATAAAACTGGTACCTTTTAAAGTACTGGGTCCAAATAACAAGTAATAGTATAAAATTATAAACAGTATATAGTTACATGGTAAAGTTAACCCAATCTCAAGCCAAGCAGGGTACAGTTTTAAACTGCTGATTGTTGTTGCAACCATAATGAATGAATGACTATAAAGCAGCCGTTACCATATGAGAACATTAGTGAATCTTTTTTAGCTTTCTAAGGGTTCACTTACTTAACAGCTCTTGATAAATACATCTGTATCTGCATGTTGTGAGTGGTTACATCTTTGTATGCCGCTCCGCAAATGTGAAGCTGCTGTAACTGCAGCGTTAATACAAATGCTGGGTAAATGATCAAAGAACATTGCTAATACTTTAGTGTAACATTATGATATTCAAAGCCATCATAGCAGTTTAGCCAGTGATCCTTCCTCACTCTGCAGACGTTCAGAATAAAATGACTGACGAGCAAAAACCTGATACCAGCAACTCTGCTGCAGTCAGTGGAGGACACACATGTACAGCCGATAATCTTACAGCCTTGGAGCTGATGCTACGTTTTAGTTCAGCAAGAAGAGAAAAGGCTTGTGTAGACATTTCATAGGTACTGAGTCTGTAAGCTGAAATCAAGACAGCTATATTTGTCAATAACGCTGGGTTTCCTAGGCAACCGGATTGGCTGAATTGTCCTTGCATCCAGTCTACAGCTACAGAGTGATGCATGATGAGGGAATCACTTCCTATGTGGATGACCCATTAAGCATAATTTATTTTTCAGCTATGATTTAAAACAGTTTTCACAGTCAAATAAAAACACTGTCAACATTTTGAAGATTGATGGCTATTGTTTGTTTTTTGTTTGTGTTTTTTTTAAGAACAGAGAGTAGTGTGCTTTTAGACAGTGGCCTAAAAAAGCCGTAGCCACCGTGATGTCATCTCGGTTTTAGACTCCACAGTTTAAAGCTTTAGGTCGAACTATCTGTCTGCTGCCACGTTGGCTTCTTTAAGACAGAAGTTAACTGTCATCTTTCGGGGTCTGTGACCACCCAAGTTTAATATTTAAGTTTTGTTTATTTTGATATTTTCTGTTATTTATATTTTCATATTCAGGCCTTATTGTCTTTTTTTTCTTTTGACTTTTTCATGATATTTCCAGGTTGTGTTTTCTTAGTACTTTTAGTAACTATTTATTCCACGAAGTCATTTTTCCTCTCCTTCTGTGTTTGCATTTATGCGTCCTGTGTTTAGTCACTTCCTGTTTTAATTTGTTAACTGCTAATTTAGTGTTTTCTTTAGTTTTGTTTCCCCTTGACTTCTTAGCTAGATTCTGTGCACCTGTGTTTTGTTTTACACAGCTGTGTCCCCTCTCCCCAATAACCTAGTGTGTATCTATTTAAGCCCTTAGTTTTCCTCAGCTCTTCATCACATTGTGTCGCTCATACTGTTCTCCTGCTGTCTGGTTTCCCTTGTTTGGATTTATGGACATTTGGTTTCTGCTGCTTACCTGAATATAGATTAGTTTGTTCATTAAGTTTGGCCTCAAGTCTTTATTCTGAGTCAAAATTATTCACCAAATATGCCATTAACTTAGCTACATTATAATCAGTGGGTGGAGCACTAAGTTATCAGCTAACACTCGTTAGCTTGGGTAGCAAACAGTAATCACAAACTGTACTACTAAAGCACAAGTAAATGCTGGAATTTCTCTCACTAAAACAGAAGCAAGCCATAAATTAGCTGGGCTCCCGCATCACACAAACAGAGCGAAGAGGTCCAATTTAATCACTCAAAGTAGTGGATGAAGCCTAGCAGACACAGCTGGCTCCAGATACCAATATTGGGATGTCTGTCAATCAAAACAGCCACACCCTTCAGTCAAATATTCATGTGGATGAGTTATAAATACATCCAGCACACTCAGAGCTCATATAATGGGGGGGAAAATATCCATAGAAGGTAAAAATGTTTTGTACCAGGATCTAAACATGACTCTTTTTTTTTTAATGAGGTAAAGTTTTAACGTTTTACATGGGCGTCTAAAGGGATTGACTCCATGTTTGAGCCAGTGGAGGAACTACCACTTTTGTGTTAGCTTAATTTTTAGCTCGGAAGGTTGCCAAGCTAGTCAGTGCTAGCAAGCTACATCCATCCATCAAGTCCTAAGCAAGAAAAGTTTCACTAACAAAAACAGGAGCATAGATGGGCTGTACCACCAGATCATTTGTTTGTCAGATAATTTCATCAAGATGCTCCAATAAGAAACCAGCACCCCAAACACTGTCAAGAGATCCAGTTTAGCGGCCTCCATTGGAAGAACTGCAGTTTTTGGTGCTTCGGTGCTGGAGACAGAAGACTGCAGAGGTTTGTGTTTTCCTC